CGGTAAGTCAAGTTTTTCCGGGATTATTCCAAATTACTTTCGTATTTACCATCGCACTTCACAAGCCAGAGGAGAACGTGGAAGTGCACGAACCCACTCACATACACACACACACACACACACACACACACACACACACACAAAACAAAAGCAAATCCACTTCCTTCGAGACCTAATCACTTTATCTTAAACTGCTCATATTATCAAATAGAAAAATTGGCTAGTAATCAAAGAATAACGGCCAGCCTGCCTCAGGACCTCGATGAGAGCGCAAGTGACACAGAGCTGACTAGAACCATAACTTACAGTATTATTCAGCTTTATTACCAAAAATGTGTTGATACTTCATTTATCTTATTTCCAGAAGTGATAAATTTGACTTAGAGAGATGGAAGGAAGAGACCCCAAGATCACCGGAAGCGCTCGTTCAGGACACCATCTAGAGGATGAGTTCAAATGTGATGATAATCAGTCGGCCAGGCGCAGCGCATTTGAACACTTTAAAGAAACGATGGATAAGTTCCAGCAAAGCAAAGTGGAAATGGCCGCAGATTCTTTGCAAGCTGTGTATGAGATTTTCCTGGCACTGAATCCAGCTGGCTTTGTAAAACCAACTGATTACGAGAAGAAGCAGCTGAATCGAGGTAGAGACATGTGTTTGAGTCACTTCCTCGCTCCTCCGTTCCCTGGTGCATTTTTGTTAAACCCCGAGCTGATCGCAGATAAGGATGACCATTTTTATGCCAGCTTTACTATTGTCTTAGGTACTCTTGCACTCAAACTGCATAAATATAAAATAGCTGTAGATTTATTTCAGCGATGTGATTCTATTTTTACATCTGATACCGCACCAAGTCCTAAAAAAAACATTCAAGTTACCGATATCTTACCAGCAGTATCCAAGGCTAATATAGGGTGTCTTTATCTGATTATGAGAGCTATCGACAAGGCTAAGGATTATCTAGAATGTGCGCTCGAGATTTTTGAAACATTTAAAAACAAAAACAAAGCTAACTCTATAGAAACAGACATTGCTGCTATACAAATCAACTTAAGTTTAGTTTACCAGTGTCAGAAAAACTATCCAGCTGCAATGAAGTTGCAAGACCGTCTACTTGTGAAAGCCAAAGACCTCAATCTTCCCCTTGATTTGGTAGCTGCCATACATTATAATCGAGCAGAGTTGCTCTTGGAGGTCAAAGAACCTGTCAAAGCACTAAAGGTGCTGGAGACATTGGATTCACTTTCTGAGAGGATAAACAATGAAGATGGAATATTCTCGAAATTTGTATCTTCTAAAATTTGTTTGGTGTATCAAATGCTTGGAGAGGCGGCTCGCGCAGGGAAAATAGCCGAGCGTTTGACTTGCCCATCTTTTTCTCCTAAATCGCTATCACCACCACTCTCGCCTTCCTCAAGATCGTCCTCGCCATCATCAGGGTCAGGGTCATCATTATCATCATCATTACCAGTTTTATCATCGTCACCATCATCATCAACATCATCATCGTCATCTTCGTTTTCTGCTTCGTCACTTATGTCTTCATTTTCCTTTTTCTTTTTCGATTCTGAAGCCTTCCTCAGATGTAATGAAAAATTCCATTGGGACTTCTTGTTCGCAATGATATTGAATTTAGTTGATTTTCACTTGAATGAGGAAAATTTAGAATTTGTATCTTTCCTTGACGTTTTTCTACCAAGTTGCAAAGAAACGCTAGGGAAAAAACACCCTATATGTGCATCGTTTCTCTTTAGACAAGGTGTTAGATTTTTTCTCATGGAACGAAACTTGTCATCAAAGAATTGCTTCGAAGAAGCATTAAGTATTTTGACAAGTTCGGACTTCGGTTCAAATCACCCTGATTTAGTGCAATGTAATATTGCTCTTGCAAGGCTATTATTGTGCAAGGACTTTCAAGAGGTTCGTCAGTTGAAGTCTTGCCCTAACCAAAGCAGGCGAGAGTTTTCTTGTGACGCAGCAGATGGCGTTGTAAGCGCTGATATTCCATCCTTTAGAGAAGACAGTAAGAAGTGGGACAGCAACGAAGATTTAGAGGAACTAGATCAAATTTCTGGTGAAAGAAACCATAGAGGCAGGCAGGGTGATTGTCTTGAAAATGGTTCCAAAAAAGATAAGAACAGAGGAATCAGCATCTCACAGAAGATACTGGAAACATCAAATGTAGTCTGTGATGGACGGAGCGACGTTGTTAAAGCTTCTTTCTACGGAGGAGATGTGGTTGTGAACCGTAGTGAAAACCCCGATGCACGTATCACGAATGGAGCATGTGGCGTTGACAAAGATTGGAATACTCAAGCCGTTGCCCCTCCAAAACTACAAGGAGACTCACATGAGAGTAATTCGAAAGCAAAAAGATCCCATGGTTTAAAAGGTGGACGCCGAATAAATTTTACGTCAGGCCACGTTTCACAAAGGAATCCCAGTGAAGATGACTTTGGAACAAATCATTTTGGTATAGATCCCAACTTTCTCGCACGCCATTCTTATGATTACAATGCATCTGATGAGCACTGGGATATTTGTGGCCCATATGAAGATTTAGAAGTGCCTTCAGGAATCCACTCCGGGTACAACAGATCTGGGTATGTGCCTGAGTTGTGCTACCCTTTTTTCCCAAGTTCATCAACATATCCTGGCTATCCCGATTTTAAAACATTTTCTGCAGGAGATCATTCGGCCTACACTAGCACTATGGGATCTCTTCCACAAACATACTTAAGTCCCGATGGGTATCAGCCTCAAGAGTCATCCCTAAACTTAGTCCTGATGCCCAAAGCTGTTCCAGCGAGAACCTTGCAACTGCCTCAGTCTTCAAGTTTCCTGGAAGATGGATCCAAAGCAAAATCTAAATCAAAATCTAAAGCAAATCTCCCGTTGACAGTCAAAGAGTTTCCCAATAGTGATGTACATGTAAGAACTCCACCAAATATCTCCACGGATGTACATGAACTCAGCGAAATGCCGACGTTCCCATTGCAGTTTGAAAGAGAAGGCGACGCCACGAGATTTTTTTCAGACCGGGAAAGTGTAGATGCTGGTCTGAGTCTGTTAAACGGTAATTCAAACACATTTGCTGACGACTCGTTGGCTGTACTCGAGCGACGTGTGGCTGAAGCTTGCTCGCTTGTCGAAAGAACGTTAAAAGAAAGACAAGAAAGAGAGAAAACGATGAAAGAAACTGATAAAAAAAGAAAAGAAGAGCGGGCAAGGAAAGAACAACAGGTACATAAAAGAAAAGAAAGAGAAGCTAGGGAAGCAAGAGAAACGGAGCGCAGGAATGAAAGAGTTGAAGGGAACGCGACGAGCGGTGGACGAGAAATATCATCCCAAAACCCGGCTGGTGCTGAGGTTCGACAATGGCTGTGTGAACATTACCAGCGGCTCTGCCGCGTCAAATTCCCATGCTGCGGAAAGTTCTTTCCTTGTCATCGCTGCCACAACAATTCTGGGTGTCCAAATGACAATTCCAAAGCAAGAGAGGCATGTTATGTTGAGTGCTCTGTTTGCAGCCATCAACAAGAGGTAAATAATAATAATAATAATAATAGTGTTTAATACTTCTATAGCGCCTTACATGCACATATGATCAAAAGCGCTTTACAAAATACAAAATCACCTATAGTATCATTTTTTACATAATTAAATAAAAAGTATCTAAACTAGCTAAACTATTTACATTATAATTACATGAGACTAATTAGAGAAAATTGAAATATGCTCTTCTGAATAAATGCGTTTTTAGCATTGTCTTGAACGTGGTTATATTTAAATGATATTTACTTGAAATTGTATACAAGTGTTACGCTTAGGTTATGAGCGAGTTAACTTCGAATGTTTGATTTTTAAGATCAACCAGGACGCCCACACCTGTGCCAGATGTAAAACAAGGTTCTCAGCATATTTTTGCTCTGTATGTAAACACTTCACGGGCGAAGATAAAGCTCCTTATCACTGTACAAAATGCGGTATCTGCCGGTAGGTGAAACAATATTAGCGAAGATGTTGTTTTTGTTTGTTTGGATAATATGCTTGTTGTCTGAGAATTATTGGCCCGCTTAGTACAAAATCATATATCTTATTAACCAAGCGCGAGGGCCGTTCTGGGAGAATATCGGCCCGAGGTCTTGACAGTACGGACCTCGCTGCGCTCGGTCCCTACAAAAAAGACCTAGGGCTGATATTCTTCCAGTACGGTCCCGAGCAAGCTTGGTTAATAAGAGATTTATTATACGACTGAAGTTCAAAGGGACGAAAGTCCGGTATCATTCGGGACCATTCGGGACAGCACCCGGTCAAATACTGAGAGAATATTGACCGGCAATAGAGCATTTTGATTGGTTGATTTTAGTTATTGGCCCTCTGACTGCCCGAGTCGTTTAATAAAGGGAGTTATTGACTTGTGTTAGAGTAGAAATAAAGAATCTTGGCGCCATCTTTTAGGTAACAGTAAAGAAATATTGGTTTCCTCATGCGTATCAAGTTTCCTTTTTAGTAAGCTTAACAAGAAGAAATATAGCGTTTTCCAGTATAAGTTGGAGTTTTTTTTCTGACAAATTAATATTGTGCTCGAGTAAATACGCGCGAAGTGATGTTTCTACTTTCCATTTAGCATCTACAAGGACCGCTCCTTCCACTGTGATGTGTGTAACGTCTGTCTGGACAAAAGGCTGGAAGGCAGACATTTTTGCCGAGAAAATTCAGGACACGATGAGTGTTGCATCTGTTTGGAGGTAGTTACGTTATTTACTTATTAAGGGTGACTGAGAGTAGGGAATAGGAGAAATACTTCCCAAACGATTTTGCTCTTTAGCGGAGGTAGTTAACGCCTAGCACTCAATTTGGTTTTATTCAGTTATCACATACAGTGACGTCAGGTGCTGACATTTCTTAGGTCGAAATCTGGAAGCAGGGCAATTAGATAACTCTGTGCATCCAAATTTCAATATTTTGATTTAGTTTATCGAGTCTCTATTTTCAGGACGCTTTCAGCGGTTGTCAGATCCTGCCATGCTCACACAAGGTTCACCGAGAGTGCGCTATTGCGATGATACAGAACGGCGTGTAAGTATGCATGAAATATTGTAATATCTAATTTTGCAAGCAAACTTACAGATGGGGGAATGCAAATTTGGTGCACTGAAAATTTGTCGGTATTCATGCAATTCTGTATTGGATATGTGTGGTCATGCTCGGGCTAAGACTGTGTAATGAGTAGTTTCCAGTAGCTGGTAAAACGTAACACCTCCATCTCCTCATATGGAGCCTTGGTCGCCAGTGAGTAAGAGTGATACATATACGAGCAGCGACTGTTTTTTCGATTAAAAATAACTTTGGAAAGGATAGGAAACCGCATTAAGAATCCATACTACGGACGTTCGGAGAAACAGCCTTTCTTTCCCATCTAAATCTGGTAATAACTCCTGGGTAACACCCTGATTGTTTTACTCTGTTCCTTCAGCTTTTCTTAGCTCCAAAGATGATTCAATTTTGGTTTCAAAACACTCTATGCATGTGATGGAGTCCTCTTGAATCCAAAGCGAATCATTTCATTGATAGACTTTGATAGACTTTTAACTTTAAGTAGGCCAGATGCTACTGTGACAATCCGGCACTAGTTTTGCTCGAGTTCATTTTGATTTCGAGTTCTTTTTGATTTGCAGACGCAGCTGTCCCATTTGCCGTCATCCTTTGTACAGTCAGACAGGAATGAATGAGTGAATAACAATATCGATTCCAGTGTTCAGAATTTCAAGGGAAGACAAAGTTTTCCCCATTCAGATGTTTTTTAAAGTGCCCTCAGTGACTGACGTATTCACTCTTTATTTTAGCAGCGAATTTTACCGTTTGCTCCATGAGTGGCTCCTAATTTCTCCTTACTGTGTTATCCTTGAATCAAATGGTAAATGTAACGAGAATAAAGGAAAAGAACATCGATTTAGAACGCTCCCGATAAAAAAATTCTTATTGTCAGTACCAGAGGAAATTTAAAGAGGACAGTGTGGATTGTTAGTGTAAAGGTGCCTGGTACCAGTTTTCATCTTTTTGATGGTTTGTAACTTTGAAAGAATGCAACAGAAAGACTTACCAAGGCCAGTTAAACACTTTTACGAGGTTGAATTATATAATCATTGGTTATCCAAAAATAAGTGTCATTTCGTCACGAGCAGTTTCCATGGCAACGCTTTCATAGGCTTATTCAGACGCATTTTTTAGCTTGTGGCTTAAGTAATTCGAAAACTAACCCGGTGACCGCATGACTTTTCTCAGTGATTGCTTTTGGCATTTCAAAAGGAAGATGCACAAAGATTTTTAAAAAATTATACGGAGCGGAATTTCAGAAAATCTAGAAAAGAGGCACTTTTCCCACATCGCAAATTTCCTTCCGTAAAATTTTCTAGTTTTATTTCTGATGATTCCTTTCGACGTTATTATCATATTGGAACAATAAAAAGAAGGGATCACCGGACTTGTTTTCATGCAATAGCTTTCATTAGTTTAGCAATTTCCACGCGCGTTCTCGCGCATTTAAAAATCTGGATACTATAAGATCGGCATTTGCTCATGATCTGTTATAGCTACCGCTGACAATTGCGTGTGCTAGCTTACTAGCCACCTTAAGAAGACGTTACCGAACTTGTGCGCGCGCAACTCGCGCACACGTGCTTTGAGACTACGTAAGTTAAAATGTCGTCAGTAAATCTCGCGGACTTTTTTTGACGTGTGTAAGTTTCTTTTAGAGGAGTTGAAAGGTTTTGAGTGGCAGTTTGTTTGGTGGTCGTTGGTCTTCATCTTGTTTACCGTGAGTTTACCGTTTACCATGTTACGACTAAACGTGCACGTGTTCGTTTGATTTCCGTTTCCGCTTCTGAACATTTAGGGTGTAGAGGGTTAAAGAGCGTAATCGTTATTTTTATCTTACTTGAGGAATCATGTAGTCAAATAATGAATTTTCTTATGGAATAATATGATCATAACAAGTGATACATTTGGCTGCTAGGCTGCCAGGATCTACATGGTTTTTACAAGGAACCCCCCAGGGGATCGAAAAAAAAAGTAAGTAACATTAAATAACATTGAATGTAATATTACATGACATCACTTATGAAAGTGTAAATGACTGGTAGTCCGAGTTACGAAGAGAATTGATTGCAGTGATTTTTTTGTAAAAGTTAGCATTTTGCCCAAAAGAGACAGAGGAGACTCAGTACTAGTAATATCAAAAGGCAGAGAGTTCCAAATTCCAGTGGACTTGGAAATCTCTCTGCCAATAGAGTTAATTTGAGGTTTCCAAGAAAGGTATTCATCAAGAAAGAAAATACCCAAATATGTATACTAAATGATAAGATCTCAAGATTCAGTGTCAAATTCCTCAGAAAAGTCTAAAAATGTACCCACAGTAATTTTGATGGAAGATGCAATTCTCATATTAAAGTTTTCGATCTTTCAAGGTTTCAAAAAGTAACATTAGAAAATTAGACTAGTCAGGTTTGATAAGGTTGTCATATTTTACACATAGTATCTTCAATCAGTTTTAGCTTTCCTTATCTTATGAAATGATCTATCTAATTTTATGTAAATAGTTTTAAATCTTAATTATAATCTTTTATCATCTTAAATACTGTGGATGGTATTATCTCAATTTAGTTCTTTTTACTTTTACTTCTGTGCTTTACCTTCCAAAACGATAGAACTTAATACCTGACACATATAGAAGTATTCGATCCTTCATGTTTTTTAAAAAAATATTGTTACAAAACTAGACTTTTCAGGTTTGATAAGATCGTCATACTTTACACCTTGTATTTTCAATTAGTTTTAGCTTTCTTTATTTTATGAAATGATACATCTAGTCTTGTGTAAATAGTTTTAAATCATAATTTTTACCAAATATCATCTTAGTTATCATAGATAGTATTGATCAAATTCTTTTTTACTTTTACTTCTGTGCTGTACCTGCCAAAACTATGGAACTTATACTTGACTCATATAGAACTATTGGATCCTTTATGGTTTTTTAAATATAATATTAGAAAACTAGACTTGTCAGGTTTCATATGATCGTAATACTTTACACTTTGTATCTTCAATCACTTTTAGCTTTCCTCATTTCATGAAATGATACTTCTAGTCCTATGTAAATATTTTTAAATCTTAGTTTTAACCTTATGGCATCTTAGTTACTGTAGATGGTATTATCTTCATTTGATTCTATTTACTTTTCTTTCTGTGTTATACCTGCAAACTGGCTAGTGAGATTGTTCTCACAAATGCACAATAAACTTGACTTGAACTTGAACTTGTATGTCAGGTGGGTAAGTGCAAGGTTAGTGCAGTGATTTTTATGAAAGCCGAACAGAAGAGAATACAGCATTTATAACGTATCTATAAAATTGATTAGGCGGTTGTAAATAACTTTCTCGAGAATTTTAGAAAACTTTTGACAATAAGGAAATTGGTCTTTGATTTGAGAAAAATTCTGCATCGTCAGTTTAATAAATAGGTACAGTTTTTAGATTATTAGACTGGGAAATATGCCTTTTGCGATAGACAGGTTTTATCCGAGATAACGGTTCAGCGATTATTTCAAAACAATTACTTCTGGTATGCATAGGGACAATGACAGCGCAAGAGGCTTTATTAGGGACCTTAAGATTTGAGGACGGCGTCTTCTTCTGGGACTTCACGGCATATAAAGGCCTGGGGCGAGAACGCCGTTCTTTGTGCGGGAATTTAGACTTAAGAAAAGGTAAACAAGACGCGAACTTTTCCCAGCCCCTTGTCGAGAATAACGTCCTTCAGGAAAGTGCCGGACCAACTTTTTTAAAGTTTTTGCGAGGAAATCATCAATGAGGATGAATTTCTGTTGTTGTATGATGTTAACAAGTCGAAAAATCCACAGTATCTTTATTGGAATTATGAAAGATTTACATTGCAAGATAAAAGTGAGACTGAGTGTAAGACAGATTTTCGCTTAAAAAAATACGACATCCCTCTCTTGGTTGATGTTCTTCGCTTACCTGACGAAATATAGTTAAAATCCTGAAGTTAGCTGGTCTCTGATAAAGTATAAAAAAATTAATGTGATGCAGGCTTTCGAAATGAGTATTCGTTGTAGTGTGATGAAACTGGCTTTTAAGGTAAGCCGAGAAAACAAACATCTTCGATATATCTCTTCTCAAGTCGCGGAAACGGCATAAGAGTAACCAGTAAATTACCAATTCACGAATAAATCGGTAAACATGGCAAACAGGAGGAAAATGTATCGAGACTTCAAAAGAAAGATCACAGCGCTCGAAAACTTTTGATTAGGCTCGCTGTAGAAACTGAGAGTTTGACTTCTGATTGTAACTACACTCTACTTACATCAGCCGATCTCTCACATGACATGATAAATTAATGCTCAACATGATAAACTTTTCCATTCTGTTTATAAGGAAAACATGTGGAGTCTACTTACTCGGAACTGGAATCCATCGTCTATCTCTGAAAAAGCAAGCACTGTTAACTACAGATTATACAAAATAACAGCGAAAACGGCGAAATAAATGAATAATTTCAGCTCCAAAACCAAACACATACTCACGTTTTGTGCACGACGCGAAATTTAAAAAATGGCGTACTCACCACATCTGAGACGCCGTCCCATTCACACACAGACATGCGCAATGTCACTTTTAGGTGAAAATGAACTTCCGGTGGCGTCCTAGACAGGTGACGTCCTCAAATCTTAAGGTCTCTACTATTTTTGATTGACTTGCATACAGAATTAATTCAGTTAGAGAGAAATAGATTCTACGGGTCCTGCCTCATCGACATTTCTAAAGGCATTCGTTCATTCTCATAAGTCATCCCACTCTGAAGCTCTTTTTTATTACACGGCTTTACATTGTGGCATCTGAATGAATGCTATTGTCAGCTTAAAGTTACGATCGATTTGAAGTTTTTCCGGAGCTTACCGCAATCCTGTGTTGAATCGCATCGTCCCTCCAATACGACCACTGTTCGTCGAGCGCACGCAATGCTGTTTTCAAGCTGCAATGAACGTGTCATTAGTCTCACCAATATAACGGCAAACTCAGTATACAATTTTCACTGAACTTTGTTTCAATGTGTGACATTCCATCTGTTACATAGGATCCAGCTGTAAAAAAATTTAATTATTGGCAGTTTCAGATACCTTCGAAGAGTTCGACGTGTTTATTTGACTATCTCCTTCTCAGCTTTCTCTTGGTTATATACTGGCCCATTAAAAGCTGCGCCTGATACCATTTTAAAAACTGTGATACGAAACGCTAGTGCAACCCGAGGTCCCAGGGAAGCGGCGCCAAGGCCACTGGGAAACATTACACGTGAAGTATTAAAAAAAATTTCACAAACGTCATTTTAGTTAGGAATATTTAATGAACTGCTGTGGAAGCTGCGCGACTCAAACTATGTGCAAGATGTATGCGTTATTAACCAAGCGTGAAGTCAAGATGGCAGGATATTGGCTGATTTGCTCCTATGGTTGAAGGTGCTACTTATTTTGAACATTAGCCCACCAGGGATCAAAGTTGTCAGAATTTATTTGTACTAGAGTGAACACGGCTTGTTACATCCGTGGTTACGTCGTAGTCGACTGAAAATTAAATAATTTCGAGATAAATTATCATCTATAATATTCTTAGTTGAAGCGACAAACGGTTTCGCAACTTACAATTTGTGTTTCTGAGTAGTTGGATCCCTTGATTCGCTATCTCGATACTTTATGTTGATGCTTACGTTTACGACCGTCGATAACCAGCTTCGAATCTTGCTACGTCATAAATCTAATCATTCTAAGCAACATATGGCAATCTGCGGTCTTTCCTTGCACTTAGGTGGCACGAAAAGCTGTAAAAATCTTGAACAAAAGCTCATCTTTCAAACCGGCAGTCTAAATCCCACAGGGATCAACGAACGCTTTTCATTCCACTAATTTATTCATGTTTTTCTC